AAAAAACCAAAAAAAAAAAAACAGAAAAGTACCATAAAAATGTACAAACACTCCAGAAAAGCAATGATACTGACAGGATTTTCTCTAAAAATGTATCTGAGAATGCTTGGACATATTAGCTCCATCAGCACATGCCTGTGCTCTCCCCATAGGTATCTTCTGTGGCAAAAAGTTTAGGTTCTTCCCACAGTACTGGAGCCCAGAAACATCCAAAATCCACAATCCCTCCCTGCCCCTTCCCTTAGAAGGTAACTGGATATGCATTGAATGCCAACCGTCATGCTGCTTTGCAACAACTGAAGGGAACAGCATGGGGTTTACAGGGCAATAAACCTCCGGCTGGCACATTTTGCTCCTGTGAAGTGTCAGATTGATGACCCTGGGGGAGCATTGTTTTATGGGAGTCATTTCCAAAGAATTCCCAAATCTACCAGGAGATCTCTCCCCCTCCAAAGGGTGTTTTAATCCCAGTCCCTGGGGAGTCTTGCAGCTACAAGTGATAAGTCTCAGTGTTTTGCAGGATCATTCTCCCACAAATCAAAGCAATGGGCACTTGAAAAAAAAAAAAGAGGAAAAACAGCAAAATAAATAAATGTATCTTAATCCTCCTCTGAAGGATGCTGGTGATGCTTCACTGAACTCAGTGGATGTGAGATAACTTACAGCTCCCCACAGTAATAAGCCAACAGATCTGATCTCAGGTCCAAATTCTGACCCAGTCTCAAACCTTGGATATTTTGATTTTTTTCAACTGTTGCCCTTAGAAAAAAAAAAAAAAAAAAAAAAAAAAAAGAGTTAAAGAATAAATATTAGTAATGGCTATTTTTGCTAAGGAAGGACAAGGCTTTTTCTATCCTACTTGCCTCTAATCTGCTGCTAATGATAATAATTTCTGTGGTTAGGTTGGTCTATGTACTACTTGAACATGGAAGGATTACTCTCACCACACATGGATGGCATCACAAGACATGGCAGGAATCCTGAACATCAGAAGCTGATGTAGCTATTTACAATAGACATAGGTGTTTTTCTGTTCTTAAAACAGTTGCCAAAATCCCTGTGAGAATGGTYGTTTCCATGGGTTTTGAGGAAGTTGCCTGATTAACATTTTTTCCTTTTTTTCCCCCATAATTTGTGCAAATGAGGAACATAACTTTATATCTCAAAGTTCAAGAACTGCTGGGATGCCTTAGCTAAGAGAAGCAAATGTTGATCGTTGTGTCAGCCGGTAGTGATATACCCCCATCACTTGCATGCATGAAGGGGCTTGGGGAGGAGTAAAAGGGGGACATAAAAGGGTGAGGGGGAGGAATTTGGGCTGTAGCAGCTGTGCTTGTCTGTAGCAGGCAACGTTAAGGAAAGAGAAATGGTCACAGGCTGTAAAATTTCTCCAAATGAAAAGCAGACTGCTAGAAAGTCAAAATCCAAGAAAATGCTTGGACAGCCAGAGCAGAGAGAGGAGAGTTACTGCTCTGTTGCTAGGTGATAGATCTGTTATCATGCAAATGACAATAAAGGATGATACTGGTACCAATAAAGCATCTTTCATCTGAGAATTACCAAGGGCTCTCTGAACAACTAGGCAGTATTATTCCCATTTTCGAGAGACAGAGACAGAGATGAATTGATTTGCCAAAGGTCACCCCAAGAAGCACTGATGGATTTCAGCATAAGAAATTGTGCTAATTTAGTTCCATTGGGCCAATGACTGTCATAAAAACCTCTCTTTGCAAGTAATCTCTCCTCCCTCACCTCATCCATCACTCCATGTCCCTCTTTCCTGAGGGGACACTCTCCTGTCTTGTTTGTATTTCTTGTCTTGCTTAGATTACAAAACCTTTTAGGCTAGGAGCATAGCTGACCAAGGATTGTGAAGGGCAGAGCAAGTACACATTTGCTGATTTGTGACTGTGTGAACAAGTAGAGAATATATGGCCTAGCAGGTGTGAAATAAAAGATGAAACTGCCTTATGACCACACAGTGGCCTGGGATGGGAGATGGCCATGGGCTGCTGCACATTCTCCATTAGCAGGTTGTGGTAGCTGCTGCCTGGAGGTTGGTATGAGCTCTYCTTGCTGATGAGTGAGGGGGTCTCTGCCAGCAGAGAGGAGGTCAGGGAGATTGCTCCCTCCTCACCAATTTTTCGGTGTGTTGAGCTCCCCCAGGTACATGGTGGCTTTTGCTTGGGTCATAGGACAAAGAGTCCTACACATGTTGCACATTATCCTGAGGGCCGTGCTGCCATCCAGAGGGACCTGGACAGACTGGAGGACTGGGCGGCGAGAAACCTCATGAGGTTCAACAAGGGCAAGTGCAAGGTCCTGCACTTGGGGAGGAATAACCCTGGACACCAGTACAGATTAGGAGTGGACCTGCTGGAGAGCAGTCCCGCAGAGAGGAACCTGGGTGTCATGGTGGACGACAAGTTGACCATGAGGCAGCAGTGTGCCCTGGTGGCCAAGAAGGCCAACGGGATCCTGGGGTGCATTAAGAAGAGCGTCTCCAGCAGGTCGAGGGAAGTGATCATCCCCCTCTACTCAGCCCAGGTGAGGCCACATCTGGAGTACTGCGTCCAGTTCTGGGCTCCCCAGTACAAGAGGGATGTGGAGCTGCTGGAGAGAGTCCAGCGCAGGGCTACCAGGATGATCAGGGGCCTGGAACATCTGCCCTATGAGCAAAGGCTGAGAGAGCTGGGYCTGTTCAGCCTGGAGAAGAGGAGGCTGAGGGGGGACCTGATCAGCRTGTATAAATACCTCAAGGGAGGCAGTGAGGAGGAGGGGGGCAGCCTCTTTTCAGTGGTGAGCAGGGATAGGACTAGAGGAAATGGCTTCAAACTGAAGCATCGGAAGTTCCACAGGAACTTAAGGAAGCATTTCTTCACTGTGCGGGTGACAAAGCACTGGAACAGGCTGCCCAGAGAGGTTGTGGAGTCTCCTTCTTTGGAGATCTTTAAAACCCGCTTGGATGCAGCCCTGTGCCACGTGCTCTAGGTGACCCTGCGTGAGCAGGGGGGTTGGACTCGATGACCTCTGAGGTCCCTTCCAACCTTCGGCATTCTATGATTCTATGATCTTCTTCTTGTGCTTGAATAAGCCTGTGCTTCTTGTGCTGTGATAAGCCTGAAAGTTTCACGTAAGTTAATAATAACTTGCTTACCCCTACTTGCTGTCTTATAAGAGCAAATTGCACTAAGCACCCACTTCTCCCGAATACTCTGACTGGGAAACGTCCAAGTAGCTTTGCACTGACAACAGTTAATGTGACTTCAGGGTGAAGGGCTCTTAGGTTGTCCCTCCACTGTTAATTTGTGCTAGACAGTTACCCACACTACAGCCCATGAATTGCCAGCAGACGGTTTTAAGAATAATGCAAATGTTCCTCTACCCACAGAACAGCAGCTCTCCCTGGCTATTGCTGTTAGCAAGAGACACGGCTTTTCTGAATTCTTGGGCTCCTTCCGCATGAATCAGCAAGGCGTGAGTCAGGCACATGTCTTCTATCATTGTTTCCCTGCAGAGATCGTGAAGGAAACACAGGCGAACCGACATTCTAGCGCTTGTAAGAAAATAGCATTTCTGATTTCCATTTGAAGAACAGAATTTCCATGATGACAAAGAGCAGTCTCCAACTTCTTGATGAGTTGATATAGTCTAGCAGGATAGCAGGGTTAGAAATACAGAGGGTATGCCTACATTAGCAATTTTATTCTGAGTCATTGCTGCCTCATGGGGCTGTGCTATATATACTTTCTAGCAAGTGCTTCCTGTGGTTCTTCTAAGGGTACAAACCCCTTAGATGTGTAGACGACCCCTATATCTCCAGGCATCCTGGGCCCTCACAGGTGTGAAAGCCAGGTTTTCATTATCGTTCTTGCTCTTTATTATCTTTCTTTCCTTTTCTTCCGATGTAAAATGGAGACAAGTCTCATTTATCTTTCACTGTCACTGTGAAAATTTAGCTAATCTTTCTTCAATGCAACAGAGATGTAAATCACTATATGCAGTGGGTGTTAAGTGTTTTAATGACTCTTCTCTCTTCTTTTTCCAGTTTCTCAGAGTCTTGGCAAGTTTCCCAATTGTCTTAAGAATTTCAGCACAGGAGGATACAGCCCCAGAGCAGCTCATGGGCAGGAGACGCACAGCAGCTTTCTGGGTTTTGTTCATATTTTGCAAAAGACTAAGACAATTAATACCTCAAGACATAGCTGTAAAATGGATCCTACCAGTGCTCCAAATCCTCCTTACCGATGTGACACTGCCTCTGACCTGCCTCTGACACTAGCTCCTAGTCCAGCAAAATATTCTTCCAGAAGACGGAGATACCAGGTGGATGGGTAATATTAACTCTGCTCAGGGCATTCTGAAATGTCCCTGTATTTTTCCTCTCTATGTGACAGTTAAATTCTGCAGAGAGCAGTCGCAAATGGTTACGGACTTTTGGTGATCTGTCTCTTCTTCTAAGCTTCAAGGTCTTGCTGTGCCCCATGGACAGCCTGCAAGCTACAAGGGTTAAAGAAGGTAGTATTTTAATCAGGGAGATGTAGCACCCCTTTTGTGCAGTCTCTTCTGGAAGCCCTCCTGACTCTTGACCTCTTGTTTACTGTGACTGACAGAGCAATCGTCTCGCTCTGTCCTAACTCTACCCCTTTAGACAAGGCACCCAAACAAGACGAAAAATATTCCACAATCAGGATTTATTTGCAGCTCATCCTTCTCTGAGGCTGTCACTTTCTGACCCAGTGCAAACTGCACATGCAGTCTTTCTCCATCATCCAGCCTTAACCCTAACCCTAATGAGTGCCTTGGACAAGGATGACAGATAAAGACCAAGGAAAAAGTAACTTACAGACTTGGTCTCGTGGTGGCAAACAAATCCCTTGAGCAGCTCCTTTCCTGCCCCATTTCAATGGCACCTTCAGGCT